TAGTTACCCTTCTTGGTGGGACACCAGTCCGTGAGTAAATCCGCCGACAACTAATTAGTTATCCCTTGATGGGGGTGGGGGCTCTATAATGACCCTTCCCCGTTACTCATCATCCTCCTCCTAGTTGTCCTCCTCCTTTCCCTCCTGTTGCTGTTTCTGGTAATCTTCTTTCCCATCCTTCTTCCTCCTCCTCCTCCTCCTCCTCCTCCTCCTCCTCCTCCTCCTCCTCCTCCTCCTCTCCTCCTCCCCCTCCTCCCCCTCCTCCTCCCCCTCCTCCTCCTCCTCCTCCTCCCCTCCCCCTCCTCCTCCCTCCTCCTCCTCCTCCCCCTCCTCCTCCTCCTCCTCCTCCTCCTCCTCCTCCTCCTCCTCCTGTTACTGGTCCTTGCCCCGCCCCTTCTCCGGGCCGCCCGCCCGCGACGTGAGGACGAGGACCTCCGCGGCCGCACCGCGCTGCACTGGGCCGCCCGGGGCGGTCGGGACGAGGCCGTGGAGCTGCTGCTGAAGGCCGGCGGGAGACCCTCTGCCTCCGAGGGTCGACTGGACGTAAGAGTGACCTTTCGCCGGAGTGACCTCTGGTGCGGGCACGGATGGTCCCCCAGATGGCTGAACGCGAAGCGGCAGCAGCGGCTTGCGCGCCCAGGTCCGGTCCCCCCGCGGCCCCCAAAAAGCCGCGCACCAAAGGGCTCCCCGCTGGCGTGCGAGAGCCAACGTTTTCTACCCGAGACGTCGTCGCCATCCGCTCCTCACGGCAGAGGTGCCCCGGGCCCCAAGTCATGCGGGCTCTGCACGTCCGCACGATGTGGCCGCGAGCGGTGGAGTGAAACCACCCCTGGAGGCTCCCCCTTTTCTAGTGCCAAGACCAGCGCCTCGCCGGAGGCACCGTGACGATCTTGGTGAGGAACAAAGAGCCTGGGCTAGCAAAAAAAAGCAAGCCGCAGGAGACATGCCCACGACCTGCTTCGGTTGCCAAGAACTTGAGCAAGTAAGCAGGCAATCAGCTTGAGACATCCTCGCATTCTGGCTTTAAAACAAATGAGTCTGGGGGGCCAAGGCAGGCAAGCTGGTTGAGATCACCTTCGATCTAGTTGCGAATCGAGAGAATGGGAACCAACCTTGGCGGCTCGCCCTTGGGCTGCTAAGACCACGCCTAGCCTGCGACATCTTCAGGAGTCTGCTCGATCCGCTCTGGCCATCCCAACAAAAATCTGCTTCGAGAACGAAGGAACCGCGGGGCAACCAGACAATCGAACATCCTGAGACACCCCCACAATCAGATCCGACAGCTGAGGGGGTGGGGTGCCGAAACAGGCAAACCGCTGGAAACATCCCCACAATCTAGGCGCGATGAAGTGACACCACACCTGGCGGCTCTTCGCTGGGGTGCCCAAGGGTCGCGCCTCCTATACCACGGTGAGCACAGGATCACCAAAAAAGGAAAAGTGGTGAATGACCGAAAGAGGATACCAGCCGAGATCTCCCCAGTCTGGGCGCAAAGAACGAAGTGAAACCACACATGGCGACACTTCCTTGGGGTGCCAAAGTGCCACCCTTGCTGTTACATCGCGGGAGCACTGGATTGCCACAAGAGAAGTCTCGGGGGCTGGAACAAGCAACCGCTGCAGGCATCCCCGCAATCTGGGCGCGAAGGATAAACCGAAACCAGCCATGGCAGCTCCCCGTTGGGGTGCCCGAGTGCCGCGCCTGTTGTATCGCTGCGATTATTTTGAAACACCACAGGATCCCGTAGGGCAACACCGGCAAACCGCTTGAGACATCCCCGCATTTGGGGCGCAAGAAATTAGGGCTTTCAACCGTTCTTGGCGGCTCCCCTTCGAAATGCCCAAATGCCACGCTTGCTATATCGTGGTCGGTATTGGACCACCAGAAGAGGAGAACCCGGGGGAGCAAAACAGGCAAACCGCTGGAGACACCCCACCATTCTGGTCGGAAGGAATGGAATGCCCGCACCTCTGGCAGATCTTCGCTGGAGTGCCCAAGTGCCACGCCCCCTACACCGCGGCGAGCACTGGGCCACCAAAAGGGAAAACATTCAGGAGGGAAACAACACACAGACACAATTATTCGTCGATTCCCAGGAACATTTGCGAAGATACGGAAAAAGATGGGGAATCCTTTCATTTGTGTCTATTTATTTGTGTGTCCCAGGGCCCCTTCAAAAATGCTGGATGACCGAGGAAGAAACTGGCCGAGATGTTCCCACAGTCTGGGCGCCAATAACGAAGTGAAACCACACCTGGCGACTCTTCCTTGGGATGCCAAAGTGTCGTGCTAGCATAGCGCAGTGAGTACCGCATCGCCACAAGAGCTCTGTGGGACCGGAACAAGCAAACGGCTTGAGACATCCCCGCAATCTGGGCGCGAAGGACGAAACGAAACCAGCCATAACGGCTCTCGCTCGGGGTGCCCAGGTGCCACGCAGGCTTTCTCGTGGTGGGTATTAAAAACACCACAAGCCTTGGGGGCAAAACGGGCAGACCGCTTGAGACCTCCCCGCAATCTGGGCGCTTCACTTCGGCGTGCCCGAATGCCACGCCTGCTATACCCTGGTCGGGATTGGACCACCAAGTGAGAAGAACTCCTCTTCACCACCATGATCTATATATATATATATATATATACATATAACGGCGCACCGGGTCCGGGGGCCCGGGGCCGGGACCCCGACCACAAATGTGGGCCCCGGGGGGCCCGGAGGCTCGTCGGACCGCCGGACGCCGTCCAAGATCGTTCGCAGGCGGCTTCGGAACGCGCTCCGATGGCTCCAGATGCCTTCCAAGACGCCTGTCATGACACCAAGAAGGTCCCAGAAGCCTCCAAGACGCTCCGAGAGGCAGCCCAAGAGAGGCCCAAGAAGCAAAAATCGTGCCATTCCTATGGGAAAACGTATATTTTTCGCATGTTCGCCTCTTGGGCTTTCACCGCGTCCAAGACGGCCCAAGAGGCGCCCAAGACCGCCCCAAGACGGCCCAAGAAGCTTCCAAGAGGGCCCCAGGATAGCCCAAGAGGGCCCCAAGACGGCCCAAGAGGCGCCCAAGATGGCCCAAGAGGGCCCCAAGACGGGCCCAAGAGGGGGCCCAGAGGGGGACCACGAACCGCAAGCTCGAGCCTTCCGCCCCAAGAGGCCGCCAGGAGGCCCCAAGGAGGCCCCTCAAGAGGCCCCAGGAGACCCCCAAGAGGCCCAAAGGAGGCCCCGAGAAGCCCCAAATCGGCCCCCAAAATGCTTCGAACCTGCTTCCAGGAGGCCCCCGACAGGTTCAGAGGCTCCCGAGAAGCTACGTCAAACTCCCAGCGAGCGGCCGGACGAGGCCCCCCACAAAATCACAAGAGGGTTCCAGTATTTGTATCCTTCAGCGCTCTCTGGCCTTCTTCCCCCTGCCCCCTTCCCTGCGACTTTCGTTGACTCAAGCTCGCCTCCTAGCTAGAACCTAAGCGCGCGAAGCGCGCGCGTGGTTCTAGTATATATATATATATATGTGAAAACGAAAGAGGGGGAGAGAGAGAGAGAGAGAAAGAAAAAAAAAGAGGGATGAACAAAACAACGTATTGGGGAGTAAAGCAATACAACCACTGAAGACATCTCAACTGTCTGGGCGCAAAGGATGCGGTGCCCCCACCTCTGGCGGCTCCCCCTTGGGTGCCCAAATAGACAGACCGCTGGAGACATCCCCACAATCTGAACGCGAAGACTGGAGTGTCCCCACCCCTGGCGGCTTTCCCTGTAGTGCCCAAGTGAAGCGCCTGCTATATCACGGTGGGCATAGGAACACCAAAAGATAAAGCGGGTGTGAATGTGAATCTGCTTGGGCGTGGATGAGCTAGACGCGGGCACGAGAATGAGAGAGTCCGAGTGTCAGTGAGTCTGGGTGCGAGTGATTCTAAGCATGAGTGCGTCTGAGTATGAGTGGGTTGTCGTGCAAGTGAGTCTGAGTATGCTTAAATCAGAGTGTAACGGAGGAGGGAAGAAGTGAAGTGAGGCGTGGGAATGCGGAGGCGTCACACGAATAATAAGTACACCATCGTCGGAAATGGGAAGAGGCCAAGCCTAAAGGAGGTGCGTTCATGTTCCTAGAGGGAGGGTTCGAGGGAGAGGGAGAAACGCATGAAGGTCGCCCGCGCCTCCTGGATCAAACGGTTGAGAAATGGTCGTTGTTGTTGGTGGTGGTGTTGTTGTTGTTTTTTGTTGTTGTTGCTGTTCTTGGTGTTGCTCCTGTTCTTGTTGTCGTCGGCGCGGGTGAGTCGCGGCGGGGGTGGGTCGAGGGTTTGTTGCAGCGTGGGTGGGTCGGGGCGGGTGGGTTGCAGGTGGGTCACGGCGCGGGTGGATCTCGACCCACCCGCGCCGCGACCCATTCGCGCCCCCCTCACTCTTATCCGGAACTGCGGGGGACTTGGTATCCCTCATTCGGCGCGCTACTTCGCGATGTCGCACAGGCATCCAGCAGGCAATACTGGTACTATGCTGGCACATGCGCCTTGTAAAGGACGGGGGCTAGGTTCCTTTGCGGCTGCATTTCCATGTGATTGTCTGCATTCCGAGGCAGACGCATCACTGATACAACAGGGCTAGCGTGCGCAGTACCGTTCTCTTCCAGACAGGGGAAAAAACATAACACATTGTCCGCAGCATTGTTGTCATCACGATCATGACCAGGACCAGGATCATCATCATCATCATCATCATCATCATCATCATCATCATCATCATCATCATCATCATCATCATCATCATTATCAGCATCATCATCATCATCCATCATCATCATCATTCATCATCATCAGAACCATCATCACCATCCTCGTCAGCATCGTCGTCATAATCGTCATCATCACAATCAAAAGTCATCAGCAGCATCATCATCGTCATCGTTATCGTCATCGTCATCGTCACCGTCACCGTCATCGTCGTCATCATAGTCTTCCTCGTAGTCGTCGTCATGATCGGCCCGCCTTTCCCTTCTTGGCCAGACCGCAAGTATCTCCGCAGCCAGTTTGGCTCAAACCGCTATGTAAAGCCTCTGCATTGTCACCGCGGTCCACCAAGCACCAGTGATGGGCAGCCGGGCCGGTGGCAACTCGGCCCTGGAGCTCAAGCACCATGTGCTGAATGGCCGTCTGGCACAGGCCAAGAAGCTCTTAGCCTCCACGCGGATATCATTGGAGGACTGCCAAGATGAGGACGGCAATACAGCGCTGCACTGGTGCGCGCAGGGCTTGCAGACCGATGCCGAGACCCGTGAGGTTCCAGACGAGGAGATGCTCATCTTCCTTCTTCAGAACGGCGCTCCAAAGAACAGACAGAACCGCATCGGCGAGACACCGTTGATGGGCGCTGTGCGCATGGCGACGCTGGATCCCTTGCGCGCGGAGGTTGTGCAAGTCAAAAGATGCTGATACCGCCACACACACACACACACCCAGACCTCTCCCCGGGTGCGTTCTGACCGGGATCTCGAGGCGGCTCCAGCGGTTACGACGAGGGCCTCCCAGGAGGCCCACAAAGGCGAGAGCGAGGCAAGGGCAGCGGGATCGGCACTCCAGATTTCGTAATAAAGGGAGGGGGGTCTCATTTCGGGGGGGGTCTCTTCCAGGCTATCTTGGAGGGCCTGGGGGGGTCTGGGGACGATGTTTTGGAGGGTTCTCCCACGGGGGGGGTCTGAAATGGCTTGTCTTGGAGGGTCCAGACCCCCTCCCTTTTACTACGAAATCTGGAGTACCTCTCCTCCTCCCCTGAGAGGCCCTCATCTCGGCCCTGCTGTCGAAGGGGCACGCCGACCCCCGCCGCGCGGACGTCTCGGGCGAGAGCCCGCTCATGGAGGCCGCGGCCGCGGGCCTCGAGGAGGTCGGCAGGCTCCTCCTCGAGCACAGAAAAAAGTTAAAAAGTAAAAAGAAAAAAACAACATATTATACAAAAAAGGCTTCTCCTCGAGCACCGCGCCAACCCGCTGGCGGAGAGCTCCTCCGGGCTGACGGCCGCGCAGCTGGCGCAGGAGCTCGGAGCACGAGCGCCGGCAGGAACACCCGCGCGTCCGGAGGTGCGCGCGGATCTCTCGGAGCGGCGTCGGGCCCCCTTGGCGGCGCCTCCGGCGCCGCCCCTGGCGCGCTCCGCGCGCCAGGGAGGGTGGGCGTCGGCGCCGCCGACCTCCCTCCTCCTCCTCCTCCTCCTCCTCCTTCCTCCTCCTCCTCCTCCTCCTCCTCCTCCTCCTCCCTCCTCCTCCTCCTCCTCCTCCTCCTCCTCCTCCTCCTCCTCTCCTCCTCCTCCTCCTCCTCCTCCTCCTCCTCCTCCTCCTCCTCCTCCTCCCTCCTCCTCCTCCTCCTCCTCCTCCTCCCCCTCCCCCTCCCCCTCCCCCTCCCCCTCCCGTACCCATAGGGGGGGGCGGCGGGAGGAGGCCGTGCCACGGGTGCGGGTGCGGGCTGTCGGACCACCGGGGGAGTCTCCCGTTCGAGCGGGGGGAGCCCCACCCGACAACACGCACCCACCGCCCCCCTCCGTCCTCCCTACGGGTATGGGTGCGTGTCGTCCGTTCGTCCATCCGCGCGGCGCCTCCGAGGAATCGTTTCGTCGCGCGGGCTTGCTTGCTCCTCCAGGAGTCCGGCTCCGAGGCCTTCGCGCTCCTGCTGAGGTCGCCCCTCGCCGAGAGAACGCCCGAGCGCTGGCGAGCTATGTGCTCGTACAGGCGGTCCTCGTCGCCGTTGCGGCATTCCCCTGTGGAAGCCCTGGCCAGGACGCACCCACAGGGGGAGGTGCGCGGAGCAGCGGCAGGGACTCGTCGGGGCACGCCGGCCCTGCCGCAGCGCTGTTCGGCTTGGTCTGGGCCCTCCTCCTCCTCCTCCTCCTCCTCCTCCTCCTCCTCCTCCTCCTCCTCCTCCTCCCCCTCCTCTCTGTGTTGCCGTTCGTTTCGGTGCTCGTGCTTGCTCCGTTTTGATTGCCGTTGTCGCTCGAAGCGCCTCGTTTCGTGCTTGGTTCCGCTTGGCACCGGTTTCGGTCTGACCGTTCGTTTTGGAGAGTAGGCTTCGCTTCAGTGCCAGCGCAAAAGCGTGGTTCCGATTGAAACAGCGATGTGGTCGGGGCATGCTTGAAGAGAAACAGTCCGAACTCCGCGCGGGTTTCGTGGATCTGGCGCCAGGCCCCTCACGGCGGCGCCTCCGGCGCCGCCCTTGTCGCGCTCCGCGCGCCAGGAAGGCCTTCTCCTTCTCGTGTCCACGCCTTGCTCGCCGCCGGCTTTCCTCGGGGGCGTGGGGCCCAGACATTCGAGGAAGAAGCCGCGGCAGAAGCCTGAGCTGTCGGAGTTGCGCGGGGATTTCTTGGCTCTGCGCGGGACCCCCTTGGGGCGCCGCCCCTGGCGCGCCACGCCCGCCAGGAACGGGGGGTCCAGCGCCGATCCAGGAAACCCGCGCTCCCCTCCGAAAGTGTACAGTCGGGGCCCTGAAGAAGGAACCCTTTTCGTTGGGGAGGGGCTCCGCGTTCCTTAAGTGTTTCACAGCTTGCCTCAGGCTTTCCTTATGTTTTCGACAGGAAATCGAAGGTTAACTTATGGAAAAAAGGAGCCTCGTTCCTTATTTAGGGTTCCTTAGGTCAACGCCCCGACTGTATGCTGATGTTTTTTTTCGTGTGCTTCTCGAGAGGAGGTCTGCCTGGAGGAGGCCCTGGGCAGGAGCGAGGAGCACTTGCAGGGGCACAGGGAGCGGCGGCGCGAGGGGGAGGCCAAGCAGCTCGAGCAGACGCTGTTCGGCCAGCGCCTCCGGCCTGGCCTCTCCTGCGACCGGGGCAGGCCAGGCCACCCCTACGCGGAGTACCAGACCTTGCACGACATCGACTGAGCCGGTCCGGGCCTCACAAGCGGGGCCCGAGTAGATCGAAGGATTGCAAAAAAACCCGAAGGATTGCAAAGAAAAAACCCAGGATTGCAAAAAAACCCGAAGGGTTTTTTTGCAATCCTGGGTTTTTTTGCAATCCTTCAATCCTTCGTTTTTTTGCAATCCTTCGTACCCCCTCGCGTCGTGTCAAACTCACGACGGGCGGTCTGGGGCTGTGTCGGCCTCCGGGGGCCCTCGCCGTGCCCCTGGCCCGTCAGCAAGCGACCTGCGATGAGAAGCCGGGCCCCCAGGGAAGGGGTCGAGGCCTCTTGGGGTCCACGTCATGAAAAAATCATGGCGCCGGGGGTCGTGGGAGCAGAGGGAGTCGGAGGACCGCGCTGCCTCGCCGACGCATCGGCGATGTATCGGCGATGCGGCGCGATCCTCCGATCTCATCCACTCGTGCCCACATTCGCAACCCAGACATGCGACGTCCTGTTTTTTGTTCAGGACGGCGTCCCTGGAAGTCCCGACGCTTTCCCCAGGACCGGTTTTTCGTCCTGAGTCGTTGTTTGACGGTCCCGAGGCCCAGCGAGGGCCCCCCGGGGCCGAAAATTGGCAAAAACCTCCCGTCCTGATTTTTCTACGACGCGATCATGTCTGGCAAGGCCTCCCGTCGACACTTCTTTCGTTTTCTTGCCCATCGCCGCCTCGCCCTCGTGTAATAGCGCCCTGAGCGGCCGCCCTCCCCGCCGAGCGCGGCATTTGCGCTGTGGCTGGCCGGCTCCCGAGCAGAAATAATGACCGTCATACGAGGAGGGGGAGGAGGAGGAGGAGGAGGAGGAGGAGGAGGAGGAGGAGGAGGAGGACGAGGAGGAGGAGGAGGAGAGAGGAGGAGAGGGTGAGGAGCAGGAGGAGGAGGAGAGGAGGGTGAGGAGAGGAGGAGAGGAGAGCAGGAGGAGGAGGAGGCGGAGCAGGAGGAGGAGGCGGAGGACCAGGAGGAGGAGGAGGCGGAGGAGGAGGAGGAGGTGGAGGACCACTAACGCCACAGGGTAACCTTAAGCTGGTCTAGCGTAAAAGGAGAAGAACCAGGAGAGGAGGAAGAGGGGGGGAGAGGGGGAAGGGAGGGAGGAGGAGGAGGAGGAGGAGGAGGAGGAGAGAGGAGGAGGAGGGAGGAGGAGGAGGGAGGAGGAGGAGGAGGGGGAGGAGGGAGGAGGAGGAGGAGGAGGATTGTTTGTTGCTCTTCAGCCCCGCCTCCGCCACGTCTTCCATGCGTATACACGTCACTTGTTTTACGCTCTTCCATCGGGCCTTCTTCCGCAGCTCCTGTGAGGATCTCTTCTCCCCAACGTCAGCATGAAGAGGGAGAACCGCACATGCCACCTCGGCGATGCATGCACCCCATCCTCCTCACTCGGCCGCTACCTTGACCCCCCCCCCCGCCACGCTCTCACAAATTCCGCCACCTCTTCTCCCGCAGTCCTGTGTCCACTCAGACCTCGCAGTTCATCTTCCCGAGCGAGGAACTGTCGGAAAGGCCGTCGACATCGCTCGACGAATGTCCCTGAGCCATGGCTACGTTAGGGCGAGCAGGGGGGGAGGAGGAACGGGAGGAGGAACGGGAGGAGGAGGAGGAGGAGGAGGAGGAGGAGGAGGAGGAGGACGAGGAGGAGGAGGAGGAGGGGGACGAGGAGGAGGAGGGTGAGGAGAGGGGGAGGAGGAGGGGGAGGAGGAGGCGGAGGAGGAGGAGAGGAGGAGAAGGAGGAGGAGGGCAGGAGGTGGAGGGGGAGGAAAAGCAGGAGGGGGAGGAGCAGGAGGAGGAGCAGGAGGAGGAGGAGGAGCAGGAGGGGGAGGAGCAGCAGCAGGAGGAGGAGGAGGAGGAGCAGGACCATTCTATCTTCTGAGCACTGTGTTGGATGTTGCCTCGGCTGCCGCTCGGATCGTCCACCCTGGCCTCTTTCTGCCTCTCGGGCGCGCCCGCCAGAGGCCAACGCCAACACCGAGGCGGGGGCGCCGCTCTCGACGTGCCCGGGGGCATCTCAGGGAGACGAGGACGAGGGGAGAGGCGCGGGGGCTAAGTAGCAGGGCGAGGCAGATTGGGCTTATGCCGGAGAAGAAAACTGCATATACATAAGCCTTTGGCGCTCCGCGCGGATTTCTTGGATCCGCGCTGCCCCCCCCCCCGGCGGCACCTCCGGCGCCGCCCTTGGCGCGTTCCGCGCGCCAGGAAAGGGTGCCCAGCGCAGATTCAAGAAATCCGCGCGGAGCGCCAAAAGTTTCTGTTTATGGCGCGTTTTGTTTCTTTTTCTACTATGTGCGGATCGTGGGAGAAAGAGGACAGGAGGGCGAGACGGCATCTTCGCGACGACCAGTTGTTTGCGGCAAGCCCGGCCAACCCGCGCCCGCGCAGAGCATCGAAGTCCACGCTGGGCGCTTCCTCCGAGCTCTCCCGAGCAGGCTCGGCAGAACGACTTGCGCGCCGCCTGGGAGGGGACGACGCGGTGTGCTGCGGCGCGGTGAGGTCACAACGCTGCACGACTGTTCCGTAGCCTTTGGGGGGGCCTCTGCCGTCGAAGGCGCGGTTGTTCCGAGCTCGCCCGAACAGGCTCATCCGTCCTGGGGCAGTCTGGTCAGGTCTCGAGGCCAACTTGGAGCTCTCTCGGGGCCGACGTTGGGACTCCTGGTCCTGGCCCCAGGCCGTCTTCGACTGGAAAAGATAGCATCAACACAAAAGTTTTGGGAAGTCCGCGCAGATGTCATGACTTGGCGCCGGGCCCCTTGGCGGCGCGTCCGCCGCGCAGCCCTTGGCGCAAACTGCGCGCCAGGGGGGGAGGGCCTAGCACCGATCGAAGAAACCCGCGCGGACCTCAGAAAGTGTATGTTTCTGCAGCGTGTGTTTCCTCTAGTGGTGGAGCACGCTCGCCACGGGGCTGTCCCAGCAGCGTCTCGAGGCCCTCCGGGGCCGTATCTGGACCGTCCCACGGCAGCATCTGCCGAGACGCCAGGCAACCAAAGCATCGATCGGGCGATGAGATTTCCACGCGTTGGGCCTCCCAGGGCTTGGCTGGAGGACTCATTCGGGTGAATATTGCTAACTGTTCAGGGCGGCCTATCAGAGCCTCTTGGGGGGACGAGGGTCTCTGGTCTCGGTGCGTGCTGCGGCCGACCCAGAGCTTTTTGTTGCGCGGTCCTGGAACCGCCTGAGGGGCAAGAAGAAGGTCATGGAGCAAAACGCGTGGCGGGGAATGTTCGACCCAGCTCTGCTATCAGGGGGGGGGGTCGCCGAAAATTGTGGAACCACCTGAGCTTAGATTCAGCGAGCAGTCTAGCACACCAGCTTGCAGAGGGCACGGCAGCTACGCCTCCTTCCCTGCCGCCTCCCCCTGATCCTCCTCCTCCCCTGCCGCCTCCTCACTTTGGCCCAGTGGGCCCAAGCAAGGCCACTGGACCATCGGGCCTCCTGGGTGACTAAACGAGCCTGGCTGCCAGATGTAGTGCGAGTAGATGGAGTCGGAGGATCGCGCCGCATTGCCGATGCATCGACGATGCGGCTCGATGTGGATCCCGTGTTTCCCCACGCCGACGTCGCCGATGCATCGCCGATGCTTCGGCGATGCATTGGCGATGCGGCTCGATCCTTCGAGCTCATCTATTCGGACCCCATCCAGGAGGCCTCCGGGGAGGAGGGGGGGGCAGGGGCCTCGGAGACAGGGTAGCTGGGATCTGTCCTCGAGGAGCCCTTACCCTGCAGGAAGCCGCGAGCCAGCTTCCCTCACCCTTTCCAGAAACCCGCTCACACCACTCACTCCAACGACGGCTGAATTCCTGTCTGCTGGTTCGGGTGGACCTGTCACGCATTCACTGACCAAAGTGGACCACGTCAGGCAGAGCATCCGAGGCGTGCGCCCTAGATCTCCTCGCCCCCTCCTGCTCATCCTCCTCTGTCCTCCTCTGTCCTCCTCTCTCTCCGCCCCTCCCTCGTCATCCCGCGCGCGCATGGAGCAGGGGACAGGAGGAAGACGGGAAGAGGGAGGAGAAGGAGGAGGAGGCGGAGGAGGAGGAGAAGGCGGAGGAGGACGAAGAGGAGGAGGAGGAGGAGGAGGAGGAGGAGAAGGAGGAGCGGAAGGAGGAGGAGGAGGAGGAGGAGGAGGAGGAGGAGGGAGGGAGGAGGAGGAGGAGGGAGGAAGGAGGAGGAGGGAGGAGAGAGGAGGAGGAGGAGGAGGAGGAGGAGGAGGAGGTGGCAGGAGGGGAGGAGGAGGAGGAGGAGGAGGAGGAGGAGGAGGAGGAGGAGGAGGAGGACCAGCAGCAAGAGCAGCGGCAGGAGGGGAGGAGGAGGAGGAGGAGAAGCAGGAGAAGGAGGACGGAGAGCCGCCGCCTCCGCCGCCGCCGCCGCCGCCGCCGCCGCCGACGACGACGACGACGACGACGACGACGACGACGACGACGACGACGGGCACCCAGCTCCAGAGGCCCTGGACGAGGAGGGCCTGACGCCACTCGACGCCGCCCGCGGCGCAGGGCACGGGTCCGTGGTCGCACTGCCGCTCCGCCCGCGCTGCCGCCCGCTGCCAGGCTCCCCCGCCCTGGCAATTCCGGCTCCCGCCTGCCACGGAGCCCCTGCCTCGCGCGTCGCGGCGGGTGCCCCCGCGACGCGCTCTGCGCCTCGCAAGTGGACCAGCGCGTCGCTCCGCTCCGAGAGGCGGGAGGCCGGGAGGGCTGTCGCCCAGGCGGGGCTGGTCCTCTCCACCTCTCCAGAGCATCGCCCTCGGGGGTCGCTCGGGGTGAGGGGAGGGGCCAGGGCCACTCTTGCGTGTGGCCGAAGTTCCAGGCCACGATCGGCATGCGATGCGTGGCGCTCCTGAGGCATGGCAGACGAGTTCGGCAGAAGTCGCGTTTGCCTCATTGCCGACACGTCCCGCAAATGTTGCAGCGTAGTTGGTTTTCAGAACTGCATTGGCAAGGCTCAAATGACCCAGTTGCTGAAGCCTGCGCTTCGGAGCCTGGTGACCCCTACAAGTAGGGGGGCGGCGGGTTTATCCACTTCGTCCGTCGTTGCCTTGTCGGCGCTTTCCCTCAGCGTATGCTTGGCACAATTCGTGGTAGCATTATTTCGCGAGCGCTTCCCTCGCAACAGGGGCGCCCGGACATGGGCTGCCCAAGCCCGTCGGGAGACATGTTCAAAGCATGTTCAATGTCAATGATCAGGAGAGGAAAAAACACACAGACACAATTAATTGTCGATCCCACAGAAAATATTGGAAAATATGGGAAGTGGGGGGGAAGACAGAAACCCCGAAAATACTGGAAAATATTGGGAATCCTGAAATTTGTGTGTGTATTTATGTGTGTGTGTCCCAGGGCCCCTTCAAATCAAGCCATGCATTTAACGTCCCGCCCGCCCGACCGTCCCGCCCGACGCGCTCGCTCGCTCCCTCGCCTGCTCGAGCCAGCCTCCCCCCCCGCTTCGAAGCCCCCCCTCCGCCCTGCAGCTCAGGGGGGGGGCCCGGCTCGAGGCCTCCCCCCCTCTGAACAGGGAGGGGGGAGGGGGCGGCAGAGAGGGGGGGGATGACTAGGGAGGGGGGGCGGATCTCATGGCGGGGGCCATGGTATCTCCCCAGAGTTCATGGCGCCCCTTCTTATTTCATGACGTCCCTGGCCCCCCCCGCTGGGCCGCGCGCATGCCGCCGGTCATGATTTGCACCCCCCCCTCTTGGACACCCCCCTCTTTGCCCGCTCCCGAGGGGGGGAGGGGCCGTGGTTCGAACCATGCCCCCTGTGCTTTGGAAAGGGGGGAGCTG